GAAACTCATATGAACATTGTAACTATGGTGACCACTACCTTGTTTACCTCTGACTATTAAATAAAGGCTCAGCTGGCCCTGTGGATCTGTTATTTGGTCTCAGCAAGGTAAGGAAGATCCACCTAGACCCAGCTTATTCTCTTTGTCTGTCTTTTCTTCATCCTTTACCGGTGCCGAACCCTTGGCTGTGCTGGGTCAGCACAGCAAATCACAATTTTCATGGCTGCTTAATATTTTTTACATTTTAACTTTCATAGCACCTTCACGATTTAGCACCTCGCTGCAGCATTTTGGGTGAATGGGGCCATTTTTCTCCACAGCCAGGCCAATCGTTGGCTGGTCAGCCCAAAGCATGGACTGTGGCCTCCCTGATGCAGGGCTGTGAGAGAGAGGGGTTGGCTAGGCTGAAACACAGGGCACATTGGTTTTCAAGGGGCCTACATCTCATGGGGGGGGGAGGCCCACAGCAAGCCCCAAATTACACTCAGGGAAGAAGGTCATTTCCCACATCCCTACCTCACCGAGTTGGTGCTAGAGATGGAAGAGGCACAGGAAGATGTGAGGAAAAGGAAGCCTTTCACCATGGAACAGGCCTCTCAGAGGTGCCACTGGGGCTTTTGGGGGATGAACGGGAAAGGTTTGAGATGTCAAAAGTACAGGATCTGAAGCATCCCGCATGTCCATCAAAGCTGGGAATACCCCTTGGGGCTTGGACCAGCAGAAAAGAGGGCAGCGTGTCACCCTGGATCACAGAGCCCTTGTCCTAGCACCTGGGGTCCAGAACCCTCTGCTCCAGACAGACCAGACACAGCGCTGACCAACAGGTAGGCCTGATTGTAAGCCACTCCAGTCATGGTGGGGCTACCCGGGCAACGTTCTAGAACACCAGCATAGAGAGACACCCACTCCCTCCGACACGCACCCCTCTTAGCTCCAAGAAGGTGTGATTACACCCCACCTTTAAACAAGTTGCCTCCATTTCCCTTTGGACTCAACCTGGAGGGCACTGCTCTCACGCCTCTGCAGGTGGTGCCTCCCCACACCAGCTGGGTCGCTCTCGCTCCCCGCTCTGGAACACAGAGGCCCAATCAAAGCAGTAATCACTGGACGAGCCCAAAAGCCAGAGAGAGCCAAGTCACATTCTGGCCCGGTTACTACTGGTGCAACCTGAGGTGAGTCAGCGCTGCCTCAGCTCTCAGGCTCTGCCCTCGGAACCTTTCACCTACTCTGGTAACAGCGCCTTGATTTTCCTAGAGGGAGCCATCCCTCCAGCTCAGTCCACAGGATTCAGGTGGGGAAATCCCACGCCTGCACCAACCCGGCACCCTAGGTGCTGGTCACTGTCACCGGTCCCAGAGGGCATGAGACCCAGCCAGGTCGATGGGAACGACCCCGAGGCACTCTTTCTCAGGGTGTGAGTGCCGTGCTGCAGGACCATGCAAACCTGGAGATGCTGAGAGAGACCTCAACACACGCGGCTTCTGGATCCAGCTGTGTCTGATGCCACCCATCCCAACAACTTCATAGTGACATGAGCCTACACGTTTCTAGTTTCTCCCCCTTTTGGTTGTTGCTTTTCCAGATAGTGGAGTTGCGTTTTTGTCATTATAACCGTAAGTCTGACTAGAAGGAAACTGATCCCACAAATGTGATGTCAGTGAGGACAATCCCTGAAGTACAGGACTGGCGGAGTAGAGGTCACGTACGGGAATGAATGAGAATTCTGACGCCTTCCAGCTAAGAAACTGGAATTCGAGATACATAGCAACAGCTGTTAAAATTCAGCCTATTCTGTCTTGAGGCGAGACCTTGGGCTACGGAGGCTGGAACTTTAGGGCATCTGGTGGAACATTCCAGAATATAAGCCTATGGTGGATACTTTTTGGGCTGCTCAGAGTAGGGCCCACAAGAGAGGGCAAAATTTACTTCTGGTATCGCCTGAATGACACAGCTTTGCTAAGGATCCCTCTTCCCTGACAATTCAAAGTGGCTGAGGGTCAAGTGAGATCATCAGGGCTGGACGTTCTCTGCTCCCGCTGAAGGTAGAGGAGGAGGCAGGAAGACCAGCCCCTGTGAGGACTGAGGGCTGGGCCTGGGGAAGGCCCGACATCCCAGGACGTCACCTCTGCTGTGGCTCTCACATGCTGCTAGGCAACCAGATGCTGCTTGGGGGCCAGGAGCGTGTGTACCCCAGCCTCACCCATGGCTTACCCACTGAACTGAGGGCCGGGGGTGCTGAGAAGAGCCTGGGGTCTGCTGCTTTAAGAGTCATACTTCTAGGTGTGGATCTAGATCTAAGGACCCTGGATCAACACAATCTTTGGCTCTAGTTTATCATCCATGAAGGTGATCTAATGCCAAATGCCCACAGGCTTATTACTAGGGAGTTCCAGGGGGGCAGAGACAGGAGGCCCCAAACCTGGCAAATAGGGCCTCAGACCACTCAACTCAAAAGGTGTGACAGCCTGTTTGGAAATGGGCTGCTGAGGAGCAGCAGCCCCAGGGGGATTTCACAAATGCCCCTCTTGGGTGTTAAGGCCTGAGAGGTCCCCACTGAATGGAACTGGGGCAGCCACGTAGCCACAGCACCCCAGCCAGGCAGCAGGCCAACTGTCCCGCCCTAGCAGGCCCTGATAATAAGCTACAGATGGGCCACCTCGGGGGTGTTTGCGTGTCCTGGTGTTTCCAACAGCAGATTCCATGGACACCATGGCCTGTGGTGCAGAGACTGGGCAGGAAAGAGTGGCACCAGGTAGCTTATGACTCACCAGTTTTGCCTCTGCACTTAGCCCCTCCCCCAGAGCCAGGGCACACCAGCTGCAGACTTTGCTCACCTGCCTGCCTCCCTCAAGGGAAGGGACCTTAACTGTTCTTCTTGGTACGCCTGGTAGGCACTTGCTCATCCAACTTCTTGCCAATTGTACTTCCCCCTGTGAGAGCTGAACTTCCCAGCCTCCAAAACCGTGAGAAATAAATTACTGTTGCTTAAGCCACCGCCTATAGCATTTTGTTTTGGCAGCCCGAGCTGAATAAAACACCCTCTTGCTCATATGTGGAGTCAGGACCAATGGCCGACCATCCCCATCCCCTATTCTGTGCATGGGGAAACCCACTGGGTCCCCCGCAAACCTAGGGAAATCAACATCATGCATAGTCTGGAGGCCACGTGCATGGTCTCAATCAAGCACACGCAGGGCCAGGTGAACCTCAGCATGCCAAGCATCAGGCACAGTCACTGCAACAGGACAGGGAGGACAGGCAGAGAGGATGCAGGCAAGTGGGAGGCCGCGTGCAGTCAGTGAGGGGCGGGGAGCCGGCACAGCCCACGACCGAGCAGTCCACGCCTCGGTGCCCGGTTCCTTACCTCCCCTGCAGGACCTCTGACCACCAAGAAGCTGGAGGCGTGCTGGAAAGAGTAGAGAGCAGGAGACAGGGAGCAGTAGGCACCGAGCCAGTTCTACAGGAAAAAAAGTGCTGGAAAGGACCCCCAAGGAGAGGTGTTAGGTTCGGGAAGTCTGTGGCAGAAGTGGTTTCCAAGAGGCCCAACGGACCCAAACGCCAAATGAAGATCACCCCCCAAGACTGGCCTGTGCCAGGGGCCCAGAGAAGGGAACGAGAGAGCAAAGGGAGGAAAAGCCCACAGACTGGACCACCCCAGAAGGGCACCTGCCCTCTGCAGGCGGGTGCTGGATCTGTCCCGGGTGACGTTCTCGGCAGATTTCCTGGGATGGCGGGAACAGTCTCTCCACGGGGGAAGGGGTCCGGGCCCCAGCAGTGGACGACAGCCATCAGGAAGCCCCATCAGCCAGGGACCAGGAGGCTATGCCCTGCACAGACATCACAGCCAATGCCCCAGGACCCAAGGGGGACGGAGGAATGGGGTTGGGGACTCATATTCCAAGGCCAACATCAGAGAGTGGAGGTTCCTGTCCTGGCTCCACCTCACACCTCTGGGCAACATTGAACCAGGTACAGAGCTTCTCTGGGCCTCAGTTTCCCCATAGATAAGATGGAGAGAAGGTCCCTCTCTACGTTGGAAAGAGGGTAACATACAGTCTGCCAATGCCGGACACCAAATCCCCACAGGGCCATAGATGTTTCTAGAGTTTTCTCTGGGGATTGGTTGGTGCTGAAATAGGGAGAGGATCATGCATTCAAGAGTCCCGGGCAGAGGGCCACGCCTCAGGCTCTGTGATCCCAGCGCTTCTGCATCCCGAAAAGGAGGAGCCTAAAGCACAAAATTTGGGGGGTGGAGGGGCTTCCACTAACATGAAACACCTTTGGGGTCCGTTCAAAGGCACTATTACCCCAGATGGGCCATTCACAGGCCCCTCTATCGTAAAATTCCTACATCACTGACCCTGTGTGCCGGGGTCTCCACCAGAGCACCCCACCAGAGCACCCCTCACCCTGGGAACTGGTTCTGACCTGCCCACCCCTGGGTCCTGCCACCACCTCCCGCCCCGGGCCACTCATGCCAGGTGCCCAACCAACACCTGAGCAGGGACAGGCTGCTCTGTACCATCAAGCACCCGATTGGTAGGCTTTGCCAGCCACCAGCACCAGCCTGACAATGGGATGGCACGTTTTTAAGCCTTTCTCAACCTGGTCACACAACCAATTCCTCTCAGTCACGGTCACCCTGCGAGGGCAGGCATTACAGCCCTGCCTTACAGATCAGTCAGCTGCAGCCACGAAAGGGGACGAGGGGATTTGCGCAAAGGCACACAGTGGGTAGCTAGTTGTCGGCAGAGCCTGGGTGGGAACCTGAGTCTTCTAACATTCAGCCTATTGCCTGCCATTAGCCAGCATGCCCTGCTGGTGTCCATCTAGCAGGTTGGGCACTACCCAGAGGTGACGTATCTTGGACATCAGCCTTGGCAGGCTCACCCTCAACCCAGCATCTGCTGCCCTATAGCTACCGCCTGCTCCTGGCACCAGGGAAGCTGAGTGTGACGAGCAGGGCGTGAGTGGGGAGTCCCCGCGGGGCCCACACCTACCTTTGATGACAAAGGCCTCCGCCAGCAGCCGCATCTGATACAGGGGCTTGTTCTCCATGGACATGTCATCGATCCCGGCCCGCGCGTACATGCTGATGGCGTCCCGGTAGGAGCCCTCCACGTAATGCAGCTTGCCCAGGATCAGCATGGCCTCACACATGTACCTCGGCTGGAAGGACAAGGACCACATGAGCAGGCTCCCGGCCCAAAGTCCCTGCCTCACCCACCCCAACAGGAAGGAGGAGCACCCTCTCACTGGAGCCGCGACAATCTGCCTAAGACCCTGCTCAGAGACCTCCTGCAGGAAGCCTTTCCTGACCTTCAAGCACATGCCCTGGGCTCCCTTCTCTCCACACCTGCAGTCCATGGCCTACTTATTGAAATTCTTCTTCTTCTTCTTTTTAAAAAAAAATATATTTTATTGATTTTTTACAGAGAGGACGGGAGAGAGATAGCTAGAAACATTGATGAGAGAGAAACATCGACCAGCTGCCTCCTGCATGCCCCCTATTGGGGATGTGCCCGCAACCAATGTACATGCCCTTGACTGGAATCGAACCTGGGACCTTCCAGTTCTCAGACCGACGCTCTATCCACTGAGAAAACGGCTACTTATTGAAATTCTTGACATTCGTATTGAAATTCTCTCAGGAGTTCTCTGACTGTTTCACATGTGTGTTGTATGTACCCTGCTCCACTGCAGGCAGCCTGCAGACTGGGCCGCCTTCTCTCTCCTGCCGCCCCCAGAGGCTGCGGCAAAGGCTGGCACTCAAGAGTTCAGACACTTGTTCTCAATGCAAGAGAGGAGCCAGGGACCAGCCCTGTTTTGGGGAGCCTGATATAATTTGGGGTAGGGGTGCATACATACACACAAATATATACAATTAGGTGGAAGGCCTTGGAGAGAACCACGCAGGTGACAGGCCTCAAGCGGAAGCCCCACCCCACAGCAGGACCTTTGTGGGGAAGAAGGCGACATCAGCAGCGTGGGACAGAAGGGAGGAGGAGAGTGAAGGCCTGACGGACCACCATCCCATCTTATCAGAAACAGGTAATAAAAATAAACCCCATCAAGTGCCTGAATGCATTTGATGCTTCACTTTCCCAAGTGCTGCTTATGCCCAAGTCTGCATCCCATACAAGGGCTCTCAGGCCTGGAGGAGGTCTCGTTGGCTCTGCCCCAGAATCATGGCCTTCAACATGGGCCGGCCTGGCTTCAAGATCTCCCACCTTTGGGGCTCCCTACTCCAGTCTGCTGTCTTCCTTTCTATGCTCAGCAGGCCCACCGCCCCTTTGGCCAGGCTGCAGGCACTGTCCCACCAGCAGCGGCGGTTCTGTCCACATAGCTCCCTGGAGAAGTAGCGCTGGTTCCTGACCCAGCCTGTCTCCGCAGGAAGGAGCTGCCCCTGACTCCCTGCAGGGCGATCAGACTCTGGGGCACAGTGACAGACTCTGGGGCACAGTGACAGATTCTGGGCACAGTGACAGACTCTGGGTACAGTGACAGACTCTGGGGCACAGTGACAGACTCTGGGGCACAGTGACAGACTCTGGGGTACAGTGACAGACCCTGGGACAGAGTGACAGAGCACAAGGGAAGCTTCCACCACTCCCCACCTTCGACTGCCCTCTCAGAAGCCAACTGAAAGAATGGAGCATGGCACAGCCAAATTCTCCTTCCTCGTGGTCCTTTTTGGTTTCTGTAAATATACATTCTACCTTTGCCTTTGCTCACACAGGCCCCCTATCTGGAACAGTCTCCCCTTCCCTCAAGCTGCCCAGCTCCTCCTCCATCCTTTGGGGTCTTGCTCAGGCCCACCTCCTCCTAGAAGCCCCCACAGAAAAGGCCTTCACCTCCTCCTAGAAGCCTCCCTGACTCCCCGGGAGCTCCCTTCTGCTGAATTCCTACAATGCCCCACCAAATGGGCCCAGTCAGCTCCTGCAAGCCTGGTCCACTGACTACTGATTAACTCTCAAAGGCTGGATTTTTCAAGGGCACTTGCTGGTCTCCTCAGTAGGCCACCCCCTCCCTGGGCCAGAGCCAGACATTACCCGCCTCCCCAGGGGCATGCAGCCCAGGGTTCCTCCAAGAGGGGCAACATCTCTGCTACTCCCTGCATTGGTTTCAAGCCACAGGCATGTTTCCTCCTTGCTCATCCTCATTCTCCCATCATGAGGGTCAGATCTAACATCTACTCCTCACCTCCCATCACAGCAATGCCAAGAGCATTCATAGAGCAAAGTCCAGAAAAGAGCTTTGAACTTTTCTTTAGGAAGAAGCATGATAAATACAGGGCATGAGTAATTATTATTATTATCCTGTAAATGGGGAAGAGCGTAGCTAAGTTCCGAAGGACAAGTTTCAGGGCATGATGATAGGGTGGCGCTAGGTGGTTGCGGGTGGACCAATGACAATTTACAACAAAGCTTCCACCTAGCTGGGGACAAATTAAGGGCCATAAAGATGAATTTATACTATTTAAAAAGCTGCCCTTAATTCGGAAAGCATATTCGTCTTGCCTTATGGTGTTATGATGGTAATAGAATATGGTACAGTTTTGCTTTGTTGTGTTTTTTTTTTTTTTAATATCCATATGTGGCAGATTTGAAAGATGGCTACCCTCTGTGGGACCCATGCATTTGAATTTGAAATGTGGTTGGCCTGTCAACCCAATAGTCAGGGAACCACAGAGCCCGGGCCCACTGGAAGGAGGCTATGCAGGAAGTCGCTTGGTCTGGGGAACAGTCCCTGTCGCCTAGTCTTGTGCCTCATTGTCTCTGTCAATGAGAAGGGAAGAACGACCACATGGGAATACTCAGCTGAGAGGAGAGGAGAGATGAAGAAATGCTTCTCAGAGGCAAAATGGAACCTGTAAAAGCCATCATCACTAACATTTTTATGAGCCTCTCTGTCATTATTTCATTTCCATTCCAGGACGTAGAATGAAAAGTAGCAAAGAGCATGAGGACTTGAGAGGTGCAGACAAACAGGCCTGCGTGTAAGTCCTAGAGCTGCTCCCATGGTCCTTGGCTAAGTGACTAACCTTTCTTCACCTGGAAAATGGGAGTGCCACTGAGAGGGTCATCAGAGGCACCCAGGAGATGGTGCAATGCCTGGCGCTCAGTGGATAGCAAGTTAGGACAAATGGTTGTTTTCACCGACCTCCACAGAACTGAGCTGGGCAGGGTCCTACAGGTCACTGAGAGTAGGTTTCAAGCTACCTTGAGGAGATGCCCCAGGACCCGCCCTCTCCACTCTCCTCGTCCATCACAGTTACTATACAGGAATCCACCTGGGATTTCATCTGCTGCCAGGAAAAATTACCCCCTCCTCAGCCATACTCCAGCCTTTGGGTAAGATAGAGAACCCCAGAAACTACTTTTAATGTTTTATTTTGCCTGATCAAAGTTAATTTTTTTGGCTTTGGCCTGGATAACAGGGAATTTCTCAGAGTTATCAGTGACTCTATGTCTTTGATGAATAAAGCATGGTAAAATTTGCAATCCTATATAATAAAAGCCCAGCAACCGAAGGCGGCATGACCAGAACGACCAGTCGACTAGTCACACGCACGGACCACCAAGGGGCAGACGCTCAACACAGGAGCTTCCCCCTAGTGGTCAGTGTGCTCCCACAGTGGGAGTGCCACTTGGCTGGCTGGGATGAGAGGTGCTCCCACAGTGGGCCAATTTGTTCCCCACCAGTGCCGAATTCCGTGCACTGGGCCTCTGGCATAAAATAAACAAAACAGTTTTTCCACAACAATACATGTGTATACTATTAGGCCAATACAAAGGAAGAGGCATTGGCATGGAGAAAGTTCCAAGTGCAAGTTCTCAGTACAAAAAAGCAACTTTTCAAAGATGTAGCCTGTGACTCCAATAAGAAAAGAAAGCTTTACATGTGTGTACGCATTTGTAAACACACAGAGAAAGGAGTGTGGGACACATGCCCAACGATGACCAGTGCTCAACTATGGGGATGGGAATGGGGTAGGGTTTTGAGGGGTGGCAAACAAAGACTTTTATTTATTATTCAAACTACTTGTTTATGTAGTGAATTTATTATAAGAAGCCAAAGTCTTATTTGTTTTTAAAACAATTTTTAAATATTTAATGGTTTTTACTGGAAAGAAAAAAATTAAGAGAGGCCTTAGTGAAAAGAGCTTGGGACTCAACAATCATGTCCAACCCTTTTGATTAGTAGAAGGGGAACTGGAGGGCCCAAGGGGTCAGAGGACAAGCTCAGGGTCAAGCAGCTATTTTATTTCAATACAAAATCTCTCAGAGCCTCAACAATCCCATCCCAGTAATGAGTCTAACCTTAAACTTCCAGTACTCCTTACAGAAAAAGCCAGGTGCTTCTTGGTGTGGTGTTCCAGTCCTGTTCCAGTCCCCATTCTCCAGACCCACACTGTACTTTTATAAACTAATCACCCACCATTCCCTTTTACCCTTCCTAATTGACACATTTTAATGAAACTCTTATAAGAGGAATGCTTAGATTACACACTGCTTCCTGAGCTTGGAATGCTCTGTCACTCTGTCCTATCTCTGTGTATCCATCTCCCTCCCACTTCAAGGCCCAGCCCTCCCCAGGTCCAATTCTAGCAGTATTACCATCTCCGAGTTGACGCCTACCTCACCCCCAGGACTGCTCCCCTCGGACTTGGCTGCACATGTACACATGCCTGTGGCTTGTGCCAGAGTCCACCCTGGACAGTGCGCTGATAGGAATTATCTTCCCAGGAGACCTGCAACCTCCAGGAGGTCAGGGTCCATGCTGAACTCATCTTTATTGCTCTCAAAGTACATAGCACAATGCCTTGCACATAGTAGGTTGTAATCAAATGCTTAGGTTAATAAATACATTACTTTAGAACATTTCTAGAAAGATTATATCTTCTTTGGGTCTCTAATGACATATCAATACTTCTACTATAGCTCAGGATGCTCTGTTAATCTAGAACAGTCTCAAGTGTTAATGTGCAATAATCACACAGAGAGCTTCTTAAATGCAGATTCTGATTCAGATTTTTGCATTTTATAACCAGCTTCCAGATCATGCCCAATCTATAGGTCTAGAGAAAGCTGTGACTATACTTTCCTTGGAGTCCTGCATACAGTAGGTGCTCACTACATGCACTTGGCCTTAAACTGGATTGCGCTGTTGTTGAGCGCTTCCGTCACTAGCCAGCTCTGCATGTTTGCCTGTTTCCAACTAGATCTTGGGCTCACTATTTCCCTGAGACCCCCACAGAGCACACAGGACCAGGGACATACTAGGTCAACTAAGCACTGTCCAATAGAAATATAATTCAAGCCATAGGTGTGACTTAAATTTTCTAATAAAATGTTCTAGACACATTAGAAAGGGTCAAAATTAATTTTAATAAGTTTATTCAACTCAATCCAACCTATCATTTGAACATGTAATCAGTGTAAAGTATTAATGCTGTCGTACACTAAGTCTCCAAACTCCAGCGTGATGTTTTTACACTTATAGCACGTCTCAATTGGGATCAGCCACACTTCAAGGGTATATGTAGCGGGCGGCTACTGTACTGAACAGCACAAGGCCAACCCTAAGGGACACGTGCTGCCCAGGTGATGGGATAACTCCGGGAGGCCGAGAGCAGGTAGGAGGCAGGAGCGGAAAGGTGGTCCCGGACTCGGAGGGCTGACAACATACCGACAGCTTCCCATGGTTGAGGACGCTACTCAGGTAGTTTTTGGCTTCATTCATCTTTGGCTCATTCTTCTCCAGCAAAGGGATGAAGTCTTTTATCTTGGCATTGTTCTCCTTCAAACACTGCTCCAGGAGGGACTCGGCCAGGAGCAATTTTTCAAAGTCATCTGAAAAACAGGGCCGTGATCCCTGAGCATGGCACACGTGGAGACTGGGACTTGTCCCCGTAGCGACCCAACCACCCCATCCCAGCACATAAATTTCCCAGGTTCGAGAAAATCAATAAAGGCACTGTTTCCACAGACTTAAAGAGCCTTACACACACACACACACACACACACACACCCCAGCAGGCATTCTACCATTATAGCACCATAAATCGTCCCTTTGAGTTTATTTTCTATAGTTTAGTGGTTGGGGAGGCAGTTTCCAGGATTCGAGACAAATTACCAGAACTTCAGAATTGAAAATGAGGCACAAAGTCACACCCATGACCCATTGTGGGTAATAAGTTCTTAAACCAAGAAGGAATTTCCCCAGATGACCAGAGGAGAAAATGATGAGCCGGTTTAATAATGCATTTTCACATGCTCCTTATTTCCATAGAACCACATTTGGTTTTCTCTGTCTTGAAGGCATTTTATTGAACATGACCCCAGAAGAACCTAGCAACCAAGTGAAGAGTTGAGGTAGGAAGCAGACTTGGTTGTCAGCAAGGCAAATCCTTGGACAGGTGTAGTATCGGCACTTTCTGGGGTTTTCTCACATATGCCAGCTTATCTGCAGACCTCACAGCTGGGCAGGTGAATTTATACCGCTTGGTGTAATTTGCTGCCTCCCCCATTACACTGGACACTCCAATCTAGTGACCACCATATTCCTGCTACTTACAGCAAAAGTGACTTGGGTGGGAAGAGAATTCAGGGCTACAGTGTGCAGGGCCAGAGGTCAAGTGTACTTTTATGATGGCTCAAGCGATAGTGCTTAATGTGACTGGTTCATTTTCCTTCCCCTTCAACTGGGTAAGGATCAGGCCCACTACTCATCTAGGTGCCCAGCAAATAGCTGCGGAGTGAATTGGACCCTCACCACTACCTCAGGAGGCAGCCACAAGCTTCAGGGAGCTACGTGACAATCCAAAATGCATCCAGGAATGTGTGCTTGGTCCCATCTCTTCACAGAGCTCTTTTTCCCACCACGAAGGCACTGTCAGACCTACCTGGGGATGCCACTAATTCCTCACTCTTAGGCCCACCTCAGTTAGTCATAACTCAAAGCCACTGGTTCCAGCCTGGCCAGTGGGGCTCACAGCTTGAGTGTCAACCTATGAACCAGGTTGCAGGCTTGATCCCCAAAAGGGGGCATGCAGAGGCAGCCGATCCATGATTCTCTCTCATCATTGATGTTTCTATCTCTCTCTCCCTTTCCCTTCCTCTCTCTGAAATTAATAAAAATATATCCCATAAAAAAAAACACAAAAAACCCCCACCAGAATATGCAAATTGAGCATAATTCCGCAACAAAGATGGCGGCACCCACAGCCAATAAGGAGGGAATATGCAAATTGACACAACAAGGCAAGATTCGGAAGGCAGCTCCAGCCAGAGCGAAGGCGGTGCCAGCAGCCAGGGGAAGGAAGGCCTATTCTTGCACGAATCTTCATGCATCAGGCCTCTAGTTTTTTAATAAAAAAGAATAAGAAAATAAAGCCAATGGTTTCAAACTGCATGCCTCTGAAGAAGATTCTCCATCTATAAGGGAAATTCCATGCAGAGAACATCCCAAAAGCCCAGAGTTCAAAGCAGAGGTCCCCAACCTTTTGGACCTCATGGACCACTGGTAGTCTACAGACCACCAATGGTCCATGGACCACCAGTTGGCGACTGCTGGTCCACAGGACAGTCACAGTTCCCTCTAGGGACGCCATAGCCTTTTAGTGGATCCTTTGCTATACCTACGTCTTGATTTCTCAAATTAAGATTTGGAGAAAATGGCCAGAGAAGTACCTGGTTGAAACTATCATCCATCACTGGAAGAACAGAAAGGGCAATTTAGCAACAGATATCAAAATTATTTTTGCACATTGCCACTGACTCAGCAATTCTGCTCCTACAGATGTCCTTGCAAATGTGTAAAGTAACCTACGTATAAGGTCATTCTTGTAGCATAATTTGTAATAGCAGAAAATTAGAGGAAACCTGTATGTCCATCAACAGGAGGCTGATTAAAGCATGGCGCATCCATAAAAAGGGACACCACGCTGCTATAAAAAGGAATGAGGAAGCTCAGTATGTGCTATTATGGACGAATGAATTACAAAATAAATGGATAAGCAAGCAGAATCCAGCCCTAGCCAGTTTTCTCAGTGGTGAGAGCATCGTTTCCAAATCTTGGCCAGAAGGAGTGGAGGGATGCTTAGTAGTGGGTGCCTGAAAGGGGCACCTCTAGGCAAACTGCTCTCCCTCCCCTGCTCTGCCTCTGTAAAACCAGGAGTGGGGTTAGGAACCTGTTCCTGGCAGGGACCTGCCCCTCCCAGGGCTCCGCCTCCTGGGCTGGTCCCCGCCCTCCTCCTGGGAGTGCACTAGAGCTCAGCGCAGGGCGGAACCATCCTGCCACCTGGCCCCGCCTCTGCCACCCCACTGCCCAGCCCAGAGCTCTCCACGGTTCACTGGCTCAGCTCCTTTCAGACCTGGAGAAACCAGCTTCCTTCCAGGCAACCCTCAATCTTGAAATACTCCCCAGGGCACACACCCGCTCCTCAAAATTATGGGAGTGCCCTCTGAACACTTGTTGCTCAAAGTATAGTCCCCGGACTAGAACAGGTAGGTCTGTGAGTGTTTGACCCAGTCTCTGGAGGTTAAGTGCAGAAATTTAGAGAACACATTCACAAAGGTTGACAATAACATGACAGAAGGATTTTTGAATCTGTTGAACTGAATAAAATAAAAAAAAAAATGGGAGGGTAAACGTTTGTGTATCTTATGAAAGTATCAGATTGGGTATTTAAAGTCATAAAACTGGTCCTCAGATCATTTGAGAAGCATTGCTCGAAACCACAAGAGCGCCTTTTAAAAAAATGTACATGTTTTATGGTTGGCACTATTGCCAATGTCCCACATCCCCTCACCTTCCTTTGTCCACCTATACCCAGCCCCCGGCTCCCCCTCCTTGGCCCTCACATCACTACTGTCTGGGGGCATACCCTGTTTCCCCGAAAATAAGACAGTGTCTTATATTAATTTTTTCTCCCAAAGTTGCGCTAGGTCTTATTTTCAGGGGATGTCTTATCTTTCCATGCGCTAGGTCTTATTTTCGGAGGATGTCTTATTTTCGGGGAAACACGGTATATGTTCTTTAGCCAATCCCTTCACCTTTTAATGAGTAAGGGAGACTATATTTGTTGAGGGCCTACTGAGTGCCAGGTACTTTATTATAAAGTACCATTTAATCAGCATGGCCCTAAAAGGTAGATATTATTCCCACTTTATAGATGAAAATGAAAATAGGCAATAGTAGCCGAAACCGGTTTGGCTCAGTGGATAGAGCATTTTCGGCCTGGGGACTGAAAGGTTCCAGGTTCGATTCCCGTCAAGGGCATGTACCTTGGTTTCGGGCACATCCCCAGTAGGGGGTGTTCAAGAAGCAGCTGATCGGTGATTCTCTCTCATCGATGTTTCTAGCTCTCTATCCCTCTCCCTTCCTCTCTGTAAAAAATCAATAAAATATATTTAAAAAAAGAAAAGAAAATAGGCAATAGTATCATGGCCACAGCCCATAACAATAAAATAGCACAGCCAAAGGATTATCTGTCTCCCTTGCATCCTATGCAGAGGAAAGCTTCGGATAGATACTGTAGAAATAAAGAACAGTCTAAGAGCTGCACATAATAGGTTCAAAACCAATAGTGCCCTGGCTGGTGGCTTAACTGGCAGGAGGCAAACTGATTGATATTTCTCTCTCCCTCTCCCTTCCTCTCTCTCTCAAATCAATACAATCATTTTTTTTTTAAAAGAAACTAATACTAATTCCAAGGGCAGGGATAAAAATTATTCTCACTGTCATATACGTACGAATTCCAGACTATTTTATTTTTTTAAAATATATTTTATTGATTTTTTTACAGAGAGGAAGGGAGAGAGATAGAGAGCCAGAAACTTCGATGAGAGAGAAACATCGACTAGCCGCCTCCTGCACACCCCCCACCGGGGATGTGCCCGCAACCAACGTACATGCCCTTGACCGGAATCGAACCCGGGACCTTTCAGTCCGCAGACCGATGCTCTACCACTGAGCCAAACCGGTTTTGGCAAATTCCAGACTATTTTATAAATTAACACTTCAGCTCCTTCTCCAGAGTCATTTTCCCACCTCTTCACCCCCACTTATTCTGCTTTGTTTAGCAGACACTCTGTAGGTATTGGGAATTTACTTCCTTTTCTTGCTCACTTCTCCTCCCTGCACCATTCTTTCTCTTCCTTCCCCCCTTTCTTCCCATCCTATTATCCCAACTGGCCAGTCTAGGGAACTGAAGGATATTTTAAAATGAAAAGTTCTGGATTTTCAGTTGTTAAACGAGAATCCAGGAGGATGGATAGAGGCTTTCCTATCCTTCTCTGAAGGTCGGACAGATTGCTTTTAATTGTTGTATTGTCCAAAATCTACTCCCTACACGGTTTGGGTAAAAAGGTCCAGCTTCTTCCCTGCTGGGGGCATCCCCTTCTTGACAGAATGAGACAGACTCTGGGAGCCTGGGTGCTGATTCAGGCAGTCCAGCCCAGCCCCCTGCCCTTGACAGAGACTCAAATGAGGCCACCACCTAATGGCCACCCTGGCTGCCCACCCGTTGTGAAGGACTCTGGCAGCTAGTGTCCTCTCTGCTCCCAAACTCTCCAAGCCTCTCCTGGGTGCCAGGTCACAGAGACCCACTTCAAGGACACCCGCCTCCTCCCCGCACCCACATTTGCAGGACAGTATTCCCCTCCCCACAACCTGCCAATTCGCTGTCTGGAAACCTGGGTTCAGCCAGCAAGCCCTGCGTTCAGACCAGGCCCCTCCTCACTGGGTCACATGGGGACGTCTCCACAGCTGCTCACCTCACAGGGCTGCAGAGGGTGGGGACCTTCCAAGCGTTGAGAGAGAAGGAAGAGGCTGAACCTAGTGAGAGGCCACCTGCCCCAAACACCCCTTCTAACTTCATCTGAAGAAACACTCGTTAACTAACCACTTGGACAGACTCTTTGTTTTTACACAAACAAACCCCACCACAGAGGTTTTGTTTCATCCTGATCAACTCTACACCGGATGTGAGTTTGAAAACAAATGTACAAAAAGGAGCAACCACCTTCCCCCTGGGTGGGTGGCGGGCAGCGGCCTCCCCAGACAGGAGAGGGCGTAGGGGCCCTTCTGAGGGAGCTTCTCCTAGTCCTTCCCACCCACCAGACCAGCAAGAAGCCCCCTCAGCGGGGCCCTCCCCTCCTGCCCTCTGCAGTGAAACCCATACTTTGGGATTTTAGCTTCTGAGGGAAACCCCACAGATGCGGCAGGGCCTCAGGGCCTCAGCCTGTAAAATGGGTTTCAGCTGGGGCTTGGCTCCCCCTCAGTACCTTCTTCCCCTCTCCCAAGTCATATAACTGTTAAGGCTTCCAGTCACTGACTGTCAGATCCAACAGGCCAGGTGGGACTTGAAGGAACTCCCTCCTGAGGTGTGGGAGGAGGGGAGAGGAGGGGTCAGTGCCAACAACCTCCTCCCCCCCCCCCCACACACACACAGAACAGTCTCTCAGTCCCTCAAGTGATCAAGATCCCCATGGAGCCCTAGCCAGTTTGGCTCAGTGGATAGAGCGTCAGCCCATGGACAGAAGGGTCTTGGGTTCAATTCCAGTGAAGGGCATGTACCTAGGTTAATGTTTCTCTCATTCTCCCTTCCACTTTCTATGAAAATCAATGGAGAAACTATCCTTGGGTGAGGATTAACAAAAAAGAAAAGAAAAATGACTTCCCTAAGGGGGAAAAAAGAAAATAAAAACCTCATGGAGAGAGAACCAAGATAACAAACAATCCAATAAAAAGCTCCATGCATGGGCTTTAGGAGTCACTTGTTTTCCTTGCTCATGTGCATGGTGTATTCTGGGATAGTGTATCTGGATTTAACAGTGGAGGAGAAATCACTGACTGACCCAAACCCCAAACTTGACAGGAAAGACCTCCCAGCATCCTTCAGTCTCTCGCTTGCTGGTCAGTTCCCCAGGGAAGCCAGGCCGGGCCTCATATGCCCCACTCTGTTACTAGTAGAATTGGCTGCAGGGGTTCAGGCTTGGGTACAGGCTCTGCCATATACACGTCATGTGACTTCTCTGTGTCTTGGTGTCCATGTGTTTAAAATGGGGACAATAGGCCGAGACTGGTTTGGCTCAATGGATAGAGCGTCGGCTTGGGGACTGAAGGGTCCTGGGTTCGATTCCGGTCAAGGGCATGTATCTTGGTTGCGGGCATATCTCCAGTAGGGGGTGTGCAGGAGGCAGCTGATCGATGACTCTCTCTCATTGATGTTTCTAACTATCTCTCTCCCTTCTTCTCTGTACAAAATCAATAAAATATATATTTTTTTAAGAATGGGGACAATTGTCTTGCTATGTGGCTCAATGGTTGAGCATCAACCTATCAGTATGTTCAATTCCCAGTCAGGATTTTGGGCTCGATCCCTGGTAGGGGGCATGCAGGAGGCAGCTGATCGAAGATTCTATCTTATCATTGATGTTTCTCTCTCTTTAGAATAAAATATTTAAGACAAAAATGTAATGGGGCACCGAGACTGGTTTGGCTCAATGGATAGAGCGTCGGCTTGGGGACTGAAGGGTCCCGGGTTCGATTCCAGTCAAGGGCATGTACCTTCGTTGCGGGCATATCCCCAGTAGGGGGTGTGCAAGAGGCAGCTGATCGATGACTCTCTCATCGATGTTTCTAACTCTCTATCTCTCTCCCTTCCTCTCTGTACAAAATCAATAAAATATATATTTAAAAAAAATGTAATGGGGAAAATAATTTCTGTCTTCCCCCCACAGGGTTGTTTACAAAAATTGGAGGAAAAAAAAAATAGAGCCCTCGCTGGTTTGGCTCACTGGATAGCGCATCAGCCCATAGTCTGAATGGTCCCAGGTTCGATTCCAGTCAAGGGTACTTATCTCAGTTGCAGGCGCAATCCCTGGCCCTGGCCCTGACAACCAATTGATGTGCCTCTCTTACATCGATGTTTCTATCTCTCTCTGTCTCTCCCTCTCCCTTCCACTCTGTCTGAAAATTGATGGGAAAAATATCCTCCAGTGAGGATTAACAAGAAAGAGGGAAGAAAAAAAAAGAGAGAGAAAGCACTTTATACCATACCATACCATTCATAAACTGTCATACCAGTGTTTCCCAATAATACTTCATTGAATATAGTAAAGGAAGTTTGAGAAATGTGGTATTTATACTCTAACTTCAGCTTTAACATCACATGCAGGTGAGCATATTAAAGGCCCTTATAAGTCCTGCAGTTTAAACGTCTGTTTAACGATGTTGAATCCATTAGGTCTAATTTCTTGACTTGTGTGGCTCTCTACTTTCTGGGTTACCAATGAATAAACATTCAGTGTCTTGAGACCTCTAAAGAATAGCTGAGGAAATACAGCCCAGTATGGACTGAACGAGGCCTGGTTCCTGTCTTGGTCCCAGTGTGTTTCTCTGCAGTGCCAACCTGACTCTCATCCCCATACCTCTGACAAGACCCCAATGCCTTCTGTGTGGGTCACTTTCCACTTCCCACCCTCACCAGACTTACCCCACACCACCCATACAGGGGATAGAGGAGAACCTGTAATTTATCTGTTCTGTCCTAAAAAGCGGGGGTTTACCAGCTTCTCCCATATATGTACCACCTCCGGCCACTGCCACACTCAGAACGACCTCAAAGGTTCAACCTGACTGTCCGTCCCTGCCACCTACCGCCCCCCCCCTCAGTAGTCCTTCTATCCTCCCCCCTCATTGGACAGACACATTCTGTCCTTTCCACTGTCAGAGGTCAGTACATAATTCTGCTACTTCCTGAGTCCCGCCATCTAATGCACAATTGCCCTCTGATCGCCTCCCTGCCTCCCTGTCCATTTTGGCAGCTAGCTCTTCAGGCCGGGATTTGGTGCTACACATCTTTGAGAGGTAAGCACACACGGGATTAAAAGGATGTGCTGAGAAATCTGGGTTTAAATCCTGATGCTACTGCTGATCCACTGGATGATGAAGTTACTTCCCTGAGCCTCCGTATCCTTATCTGTAAGTGGGGCAATGGAGAGCGCCTGTTCCTTGGGGTTGTTGGGAGGAATGAATGAGTTGGTTAGAGTGCTCAGGCTGGTGTCTGGCACACAGTGAGTGCTAGGTAAGGGTTAGCTATTCCTATTACTATTATCATCATTCCTTCTCCTCCACAGAGCCTTCCACGGGCAGTGTTTAACACCCTTTATAACTGTGTTTACTTCCTTCCTTCCACAGGGCTCTCAAGTCCTCAAAGACAGGGCTCAGAGAGCGCTCTGCAGGCTGAGCTGAGGGCACCAGGGACAAGGTTTGAGGTTGGAGCCGGGGGCGGGGCTTCCCCCACTGCCACATCAGGGTACTTTCCACCCAGGAGCCCAGCCCAGCCCAACCAGCCCCTGTGGCTGAAGCCCAAAGCTGCCAGGGCCAGAAGGGTCCCCGGGCCCAGCTACAAACGAGGAAACTGAGGCTTCCCAGGCCTCTTTCACACACCACCACCCGCCCCCGTGGACCATCAACGCCTCCAAGTAGGTCTGTTGTTGTGGACAGAGCTCGCTGTCCACTGGACTTGGGGGAAGCAGAGGGAAGGCGCGGACAGTCAGTCTTCACCTGATGGGAGTTTCAAGGTGGTGCAAGAGTCCAGCCCCAGCCCTAACGCATCTGACACGTGCCCGTACCAGCATTTCACAATAGATGGAAGTTGCCCACATGATCCTAAAGGGCAGAGAGCAAAAGACGTTCCTCTTCCCCGCCCCGCCCCCAAGCACCCAACCTGCACGAGTTTTCTCCTGGGGCCAGAAAGGCGATCTCCCTGCCCCGGCACCCCTCAGACCAGCGCTCCAGGAAGAGGAGTACCCACGGCGCCCGGCGGCGGCCCGGGGCAGTCGGGGCGCACTTCCTGGAGGAGGAGGCGCGTTTGGCGCGCGCGCTCGGGCTCGGGAGCCAGCCCCTTCCCTCGCTCCAGCTCACCGGTGTCCTGGGAGGTGAACAAGGCGCTGGGGAGGGATCTCCGGTTGCCTATGCCGCCGTGCACGACCAGCGCCTTCATCTGCCGGACCAGCAGGGGCACGCGGTGCCAGAGGCCCTCGGCGCGGCAGCGCTCCAGCTCGCCCTCTACCTTCAGGTGGGAGCCGTGTGCGCCCTTCGCAGCCATCTTCGCGCGGGCGCTGTCATGGGAGGCGCCGCCAAGAAGTGGAGACCCGGCCGGGGGCGGCGTCCCGGCTGGGGAGCACTCGCAGGCGGGGTCGACGAGGGCGCGGACGGCGGCGTCCGGGGCCCCGGCGGCGGCGGGGGCCCAGGCGGCGGCGGGAGGGCAGCAGCAGCAGCACTGATGGCACCGCCCGACGCCTCCCGGCTGGGGCTCCGGCTGCGCGGCCCGGGCGCCGCGTCCAGGAGCAGCCTCCGCCGCAGCTGCAACAGCCTCTGCCGCTGCCGCCGCCGCCGCTGCTGCAGCTGCTGCCACAGCCCCCGCCCCGGGCCCGGGCGCCGCCAGCTGCGGGCCCGCCCCCGGCCTCCGCTCCACCCCCGCGGGGGCGGGGCGCGGCTCCGGGGGGCCGGGCGCGCCGGGGGCCAGCGGGGCCACCGCAGCCAGGCCCGCGCGGAGGAGCGCCCGCGGCCGCCCCGGCGCCAACCGCCCCCCGCCGCGCGCGCGGCGGCCTCGGCGTTCACTTTAATGCTGGGCGGAGTGCCTGCGCCCCGGGGGCGCCCCGCTGTGCGCCCCCTTCCCAACCCATCGGGGCTCTTGGCCTGGGGGACCCCCGACGTTCCGGCTTTGTGTGATGGCTCCCGTCACCGCGGCGGCCCCCGACACGTCACAAATCCGAGGAGAGGCCGGCCGGCCGGGGAGGTCCCCCACCCCGAGAGCGAGGCTCCCCGGAACTCTGCCTCCGCCGCCCGGGGTCCTGACCCGCTCCCTGCGGGGAGCGCGCGGGCCCTGCGCGCCACCCCCGGGGTACGCGGGAGAGAACGGGCGGGTGTGAATCTCCCGCTCTAACGAACTGTTTCTTTCCTTTTTTTTTTTTTTTTTTTTTTTTTTTTTTAACAGCGGAGTTCCTCTTTCCAACTCGACTCCCCTACGCTAACCGACTGTTCTCAGCAGAATCCAGTTGCCCTGGATTTCTCAAAGGTTTTAAGCTGTTCGTCCAACTTGGTATTTGTTTATGTCTTAGTTCTGGTGTCTAAAGACGGTGATCAAAGCTTTCCTGAGCTCTTGGCAAGCCTTGCCTGGCTCTGTGGGGCACTAAGAAGTTCAAGGGATGACACGGTGGCCTGGAGGGAGGGGCAGACCTACACCCTGTGCCTGATACCGGTTCTGGTGGCCCCACCTGCGGGGTGACCTCGGTTTAGTCTTCTGTAGGGATTGAGGCCAAACATGCGGAAAATCATGGTAAGACCAAAACAAAAAAGCAAGCAACCAACCAAACAAAAAAACCCTCCCTGTATTTAAGTAAAGATTCCAGAAAACAGGGGAGGCCAGGCAAACTTTTAAGTATAGATTCCTAAGACCCCTGTCCCACTGCCCGACACGTGACCTTGAGAGTGAGCATGGCCACTCCATGTTAGGAGCCACTGCTTCTGCACAGCTGTCAACGTGGGGAGGCTTTTGTCAAGAGGACCCAGGCTCCTGGTGCTTATCCCACTGGGCCCTTGGGGCTGGGGTTATCAGTTGAAGGCAGTCTTCCTGCCCCCCACCCCATCCCCCTAGATCCCCTTCTCTTCAGGTTCCAAATGTAGCTCCATTCCTTGCTCCACAGGCAGAGTTTCCTGAACTTGGAGGCTGTGCTGAGTACCTGGGGTCTGTCCTGATCTCCCAGAATCCGGGAGAAAAGTGAAGAAACATTGGGATTGCGCCGGCAGTTAGAATTTACTCCATTTACATCCACTCCTCCTTGCCTACTGCTGTCAGCTCCTCTTGTTGGCTTTTGGTTAGTTACCCTTGGCTGCCCTTGCTGCCCTTGCTAGTGACCAGAACCAGATTCTGCTAGGAGAATGATTTGAGCCTGTCCTTCCGGGGAGGGTGGCACGAGTACACCCTGTGATTTACCCCAGATCTGGCTTTCCCCAGAGTCAGCCCTGGGGCAGGCAAAGAGAAGCAGGGTTGATAAGCGGGAGGCAATCTTTAAGGAAAAGAAACCCTCCTTCCTCTCCTCCCTCTTTTCTGCGGTCCTTTGCCAACACTGCCCCCAGGTTACAGCACTCCAGGGAACTGGCTGAAGGGGAATGGGTGCTTGTTTGACAGGTGTCCAATGTCTGTGTGGGCCTGGGCCGGGGCTGGGAGGAACATCCCTTGCACTTGGCATGATTTGAACTTATGATGAGAAGAATTTATCTCAGTCTATTGAGATCTTGCTCTAGGTGCATCCTTCGTTTGGCTCAAATACATTTTTATAATACAAAAACAAAAAGCCTAGCCGAAACCTTTGGATAGAGCATCAGCCTGAGGTCTGAAAGGTCCCAGATTTGATTCCTGTCAAGGGTACATACATTGGTTGTGGGCACATCCCCAGTAGGGGGGGGGGGGGTGCTGGAGGCAGCTGATCAACGTTTCTGTCTCATCAATGTTTCTAGCTCTCTATCCCCTTTCCTTCCTCTCTTAAAAAAAATCAATAAAATATATTAAAAAACAAACAAACAAAAAGCTTATTATGCATTGCTCCTCCATACTGTGAAGAGCCTTCATGCTCTTTAGCAGAGATAAAGAACAATGACCAGCGTTGTTTTTTTGTTTTGTTTTTTTGTTTGTTTGTTTTGGGGGGGAGGGCAGTAAGAGACTAGGTGCACAGCAAAGAACAACCATGACTAATAAGCAACATTGGCCAAAATCAAAGGCATATAGAAAGGGTGGTGGTTGTTTTTACTTTTTAATCTGAAATCTCTTAGGTGAGAATTTAGGACAAATTCTGATAAAGACTGCTTGCTACCTTGAAAATACTACCAAGATAACTTGCCTGCTGATCAGGTGAAGCTGAGCTCAGAGGAAGTAATGAAGTTTATAGGAGGTAGATCCACTTACTGAGGAATGTTTTCACAGGACAACGAAGATACAGCATCAGGGACCATCTGGTTTAAAGGGGACCTTAAGACAAGACAATGGGAAATGCTACTAGTGTAACCTGCTGCCCCAGACAAGGTGGGGAGGGGCTTGCCACTGAATCATAAGAGAGGCTATAGTAAGCTATTGGTCTTTAAAAAAAAAATCTTTATTTGCTTTGGTAAGGAAAAAAGTTAACAGTAAGTTTTATCTCTTTGGTTAGCTTATTCCTAAATATTTTTTTTTGGTTGTTGCAATAGTAAATGGAATTTTTTTTTAGTTTTTCTCTTTTAAAAAAAATATTTTAAAAATATATTTTATTGATTTTTTACAGAGAGGAAAGAGGGACAGAGAGCTAGAAACATCTATATGAGAGAGAATCATCCATCAGCTGTCTCTTGCACAACCCCTTCTGGGGATGTGCCCACAACCCAGGTACATGCCCTTGACTGGAATCGAACCCAGGACCCTTCAGTCCACAGGCTGATGCTCTATCCACTGAGTAAAACTGGTTTCGGCTATATATTTTTTATTTCTGAGAAGGGAGAGTAAGAGAGAGAGATAGAAACATCAATGATGAGGGAGAATCATTGATTGGCTGCCTCCTGCATGCCCCCTCCTGAGGATCGAGTCCACAACCTGGGCATGTGCTCTTGACCAGAATCAAACCTGGGACCCTTCAGTCCATAGGCAGACGCTCAATCCACTGAGCCAAACTGGCTAAGGCTAGTTTCTCTTTGTGATAATTCATTATTGGTGTATAAAAATGCCTTCAATTTCTGGCATATGTGAAATCTTAATAAAATAAACTGATGAACGGAGTGGGTCCAGAGACTCAGGAATAAGTGACTATTTAAGGCAGTTGCCATGGCTAACTTTCAAGGCACTGACCTGCTAAAACCAAATGCCTTGACCGGAATTGAAGTCCGGTTTTATTTTTTATTTTTATTAATGTTTCTTTAATTTTTATTAATGTTTTTATTTTTTATTTTTATTAATGCTTGCCTTCTATTGAGATTTCCACGAACTGCACAGGTGAGGTGGTCTTTGAACTGGGCCACCATAGTCTTGGGGGGACTCCTCTGTGAGTAGGTGTTGCAGAACATGGCTTTGTGGCATTGAGAAAGCGGAGGATGGAAGCAGGGCCATCTTGGAAACACAGGATTCAAGGCCAACTCCAGCGTCTTCCAGCCCTTCCATTAGGAAAGGATTTAGGATTTCCTATTATCTCCCCAATGTGCAAGTGGAAGTGGAAGTGGAGGCGGGGCTGGAAGCTCTAGCCTAGGCGACTGCTCCAACTGTTTTGTCCCTCTACGTCCCACGCGGTCTACACTCCTCGGGGTTTCCTAGCAACCTTCCGGGCCCGCCTAGCAACCTTCCAGGCCCGCCTAGCAACCTTCCGGGCCCCTGGGTGTTCAGGTCGACCAGACCGGGTGCAGCCGAGTGTCGCCTTCGGGAAGCAGGAAGAACGGCGTCCGCCGACCCTCGGGGCCCGTTACACGTGGAATCTCCTGAGCTGCACACCCAGTCGGGCGGCGGGCGGGGGCGGGGCTTCGCGGAGCCAATGGGCGGGGCAGAAGGGGGCCGCGCCTGCGCAAGGCAGGCCGGGGGGCGGGGCCGGGGAACGGCGCTGAGGACGGGGGCTGGCGAGGCTCACGCGGGGTCGCTGCGTGTCTGGGGAAGTTGGGCAGCCGCCGCGGGCCGCGAGGGTGAGTGAACCCGGGAGCAGCCCAGGTGTGGCTGCGGCTTGTGAGGCCCGTGTCCCCACCCTGGGGGGTGGGGGGAGGAGGAGGTCCGTGGGGAGGCGCCGAGGGGTCCTCAGCTGGGCTGGATCCCGGCACCCCTCCGTGGTCCTGGGGCGTCGGGCTCAGGTTGAGAGGCTGGAGGGACTACGTGTGTGTGTGTGTGTGTGTGTGGGGGGGTCTCAGCCCCCGAGCCGCCTCGGGAAGATTAGCCGGCTTAGAAGCAGAGCATCTCTCTCTCCCGGGACAAGCTGCTGGGGACTGTGAAGCCAGATGGGCCCTGCCGGAGCCGGTCTCCGCTGGCACCCCCTCTCCTCCGGTCTTCACCCCCACCCCCATCCCATCTCCTCCTGGAAGAGAGAATAAGCAGGTCCTGTCTGG